CTAGTGAACTAGAAACGCGCAAAATTATCTGCTAATTAATATTGCTAAAATTTTCATTATTTTTTTACTTTAATTTAAGGGTTTCATATAAGTGCTACTAATTTCGGTAAAAAATATTATTCAGCATAATGAATTCATTTCGAGCATAAAAGTGTAATTTTCATGAAATAATTTTTAATGAAGAAGACTGTTTAATTTTAAACCAGGTTGGTTAAAAAATATAAATTACTAGCCCCAAATATTTTGGAAAAAGTTCATATTAGTTTCAATCTGCCCGTGCGTTCATCCATCTGTTGTGTGACCATGTTTACAAAATTTCAACACCTTGAAGATAAAAAGCTAAAACTTTATATTTACATAGACAATTACTAGATATTCATTTCCGTGGTAAGAAAGTTTTTACCTATCTCCTCACCTGTACAATTTATAACCTCTAAAAACCTTAAAAATTCCATTTTTCAACAATATATAGTAGCTAAACCATAAGAATTTTTTAAATTTTACAAACGCAGAAAAGTGGTGGCTGGGTTATTCTACCACAGCATTCCATACTTGAACTTTAAAAAAAAAACAAAATGGTCGTTAAAATTTAACGCTAATATCCGTTTTTTCCAAATTTTTGATATCGTGTTCCTTTAAGATGGTAGGTTGTAGGAGTCTTAAATTAGCAGCTGTTAGACTCTAATAAATAGTTCATTTCGTTAAAATAAATGTTTTTCCATCTCTACCCCCTTGCAAGTTATCGTTTCTCGAAATATGTAAAATTTGAATTTTTAACACCTTGCGCTAATCCTAAATGTATGCAATTTTTTTAAATATATTCGTATATGAATGAAAGTAATTTTAATAATTTTGTATATACATAGATTGTTTTCAGAATCAGTATTTTCACTTTTTGATGGGAAAAGTGTAGCACTATTACAAAGCATTGGCTTGATTCAACTTTTTTTTTTCTACATACAGCAACATTGTTCGATCTAATATCAAACACTTGTTATTGAAGCTGAAATTAGTTGGAGAAAATTTTTATTTAGTTTGTCACAATAACTGAATAAGTGTGAAATTCAAAATTTTTTAACCAATTACTTTTATAATTGAAATTTCTGATTTAGCTTATACTAATAAATAAAATAATTAATAATTTCATTTGTGGTTTATAATTGGAAATTCCGCATATTAGTAACACGACTTTTATTTTATCAAAAATAATTAAATATAATGGTGAATGACACAATATTTAATTTAATTAAATATAACACTTTGATTGAACCATTTAAATTCCAAAAATTAATTTAATGAATTTCATATTTCTAATTTTAATACAAAATTTACTATAAATTGAGGCTTTCACTTCTCATACTTTTACAATAATTTTAATGATAAATCAAAAGTCACATCAATTTACCAAAATTTGACATTAATGTAACAAAAGTTATATTTTATTTGTTCATCTTCTTTCCGAAATTTTTACAAAATTTTCTGACATATTTATCAATAAAATTTATTATATTATATATACATACATAAATATAATATAAGATCAAGAAAATCAACATTAATTTTTGGTAAGAACAATTTATAAGTATTAAAACTTTTATAAGTTATATAGAATTAAGAAAAAAAAGGAAAAAAGAAATCAAATAATAATGATTTCTTTTTGAAATGGGACAGACATTTAAAATTAACAAATTATTATAAAAATAAATGGTTCACCTTAATTACTTTCTATCTTCTTACTTTTTATTTCATAATAACTATCCTAACCTTTATCAAAATAATACCATGAAAGCAGTAATTTTGACCACAAATTTTCACGAGCTATTTAACATTATTATATTCTTTTACTTTGAAAATTTTATAAAAGAATAGATTTCTTAATTCAAACCAAACCTCCGGTAATTATAATGTATATATTTTTATGTTTTGTAAAATGATTTTATAAAATGTTAAATTAAAAATCTCAGTACGAATCATTAAATTTTTCAAAAATAAGAAAAATTATAAAACATTTCAATCATTCTTAAAAAAAAAATGTGATGTTAATTTAGGACATTTTTCAGGCTACTTTAACGCTATTAAGAAATAAAAAATTCATTTTTTCCGGTATGTCATTTTTTTGAATTAAATATTTTTATGTATGACCAGAGAGCAATTAGTTACTCTTACACTCTTTGAATATAATGACAAAATAAAACAAAAAATTAATTTTTTTCGAAATCCACTAATAATTTGTGCATTGTGGACCAGTTAAGGAACCTTTGAAGTATCACATGATTTATAAGTTGTAAATGGATACAAAAGGATTAACTTTTAAATATCTGTTATACCGCACTATCTTTTTGAGGTTTACATTGAGTACAAGTAAATTGTACGACAATTTGTACGATTTACAGCCGACACTTAAGCATATCATCTTTCAAGCAGTAAAGATAAATTTCAAATCACAAAGCTTTTTAATGATCCGTAGATGATTTTCAAAAGATCTTATAGTCTTCGTCTAGATAAGATTCAAGTGGTGAATTAATATAAGCTACGAGAATTTAACTATATGTACATCGTATTGCTACCAATTCGGTTTTAATCGTATAACAGTTCTAAATCAAAGCAAAATTATGTTTAATTATGAGATCCATTTTACCTCGGATGAACTTGTTACATGAGAAATTTTTACATATGGAGTAAAATCAATGTGTAAGAGACTACACTTCCATACTACCCGAAAAAATACAATGTTTTTTATAAAACTGTGAATAATTGCTTTCGAGTATATTGCATTTTTTTGAAAATGTCTCTTGCCTTTTACTGATTAATTCATCAGAAACAATTTAAGAAAATTAAATCATGAGCCGAATTTAATCAAAATATTTAAAATGAAATGTGCTCTTTTACACTGCACACCTTAAATGTCAATTTATTTTATTTTTTAATTTTTTAATTTTTTATGAAAACTTAAAATGTGATGCTTTCGTTAAGCATCTCTCATTTTGTTAATATAAATTTACGCATGGTTGAAAGAATAAGGAACAAAACTTTTGTATTCCAAAAGAATAAAAATTGAATCACACCTTCTTAATGTTTCTTTACGGTTATAAATTATTAGATGGGCGGACATTTTATATTTCCTTCTATATAACCATAATTTAGATATGCAAAATATTTTTTTTTTCTTTAAAAAATTTATTTTAAAGGGAAAACAAATTAATGCATAAATATAAATATTCATTAGATGGTACATAACATTTTACTCTAATTTACATAATATATTTACGTTCACATAGTTGTATAGGTAAGGAAATATTTTCAAATTCAAGTTCTATCTATATAATTTTATGAAATCTACATGGATTTTCAATTCCACGTAGATTTTGTAAAATTAAGCATGTAGGTAATAATGTTTTTATCAAGGTGAAAAACGCAATTGGGATTAATAACTGTTATAATATTGAATAAATTATAACACCCATAATGAGCTATGCTTTTTTTACCTATTCTTTAACATTGTACTTATTAGAAGTTATTGGAATATGTAGGTCAAGAATTAAAACCAAAAATTCTTTGATTTTTAATAAAATAGTTAGAAAGTTTTAAACGGGAATATTGAATTAAATTATTATAGAGCAGTTTAAAAAAATTTCAATTAGCACCATTATGTTTTGCGAATTGTGCCACACAAAATGCAACTAATCTTACAAAAGTCAGTATTAAAAATATAGCCGTTTTTAAGAAAATGTTTTAATATCCTGGTAATCTTCTTAGAAATTTGTTTCTTATTCAACAATGATCGTTTCTTCAAATGAGAGTAATATTTTTCTTTGTAGAGCTGGGCGCTATTGATAACAGTTAAAAAGCGTTTTTTTTACCAGTTTTTGGAAATCTGACAAATAAACTATTGTAGGTAATTAGACTCTACCATAGTCTCGATTCATAATTCTCACAACACAATTTTTGTAGATATAAAATATCCGTGAAAAATTATGATTTTCGTGCAAAATATTGTCATATTATCATTGTTTTTATATCATATTTTGACTTCATGTTCGTAGCTTACTTGTATAATGAAAAACTTCTCCATAAATATTATGGAAGCTGTACTCATATTCTCGTTTTATTCCAACTTTTTAAAAATACTTTAATAAATTGCTTAATATGAATTTTATCTAAAAATTTATGCTAAAATGGTATTGCTTCACAAATTCGTTTAAAATTATAAATCATAAGAAATGCACAACGTTAGGACGATTATACTACAATTTGGGCTTATATTTTTTAATATCATAAAGATATAGTAATAGTTTGAAGCTAAATACTAATTTTACTCGAAATTTTACAATTCTGAAAATAAAATATTAGAAAGATTAAATCGGATACTATGCTTATTTAATATCATTATTATTTTAACGAATATTAATGAAGCAATAATATTTCTTCAAATATATTGTACAAATTTTTTATTTAATGCTATAAAATTAGATGTGGTTTAATTTTCAAATGTATGTACATAATATTTAAATTCAAATTATGCATATCAATAACATTCATTCAACCATAATTTTATAGAACAATTTTCCTCATTCTATATAATATTGTATAAGTAAATCTAGTCGTACTAAAACAAGAACCTCATATCACATACGAACATATCCTAAAATTTTGTATGTTCAATGAAGGTCAAAAATGTTATTAAATTTTCGTTTTTAAGGTATTTAGTATGTCAAAATATATTAGAGTAATAAAATTCAATTGTAATTTATTATTAAAGGTTATACTTTAATTGTCCTTTACCATGTCCTTCTATATACGCGAATCCGTAAAGTGTATAATTGTTGAAATTTTTTTTGTTTGGAACTTAAATTAAGCAATTATTTATTATTTTAGTGGATTTAATTTATGCACATTATAAAAAATAAATTTTAATATAATAAATTAATAGATGCATTTTATTAAATTATTTTAGATAAATTTTAAATAATAATAATGGCAACAATTTAAATAAAACTTACCAAAACATAAACGCCGAATGGCATCACAAATACAGCTACTAATAAATCAGCTAATGCCAAAGAAACTATAAAATAATTGGTCACAGTTTGTAGTGAACGTTCACGTAATACTGATAATATAACTAAAATATTACCAAATAATGTTAAAATTGGAAATAATATTAATATTAATGCCCAGTAATTATATTGAGCTGTAAAGATAAAATAAAATTGAAAGTTAAAATTAAATATGAATATTTTTTCAATATAGCTATAAAATGAATAAATTTTTTAGATTAAAATTGAAAACAATAAATTAGATCTATGTTTTATAAAAGTCCTTGGAATTTTCAATCGGAAAAAATTTGTACAGAATAGTTTCAGAATTTAAAATTAATGGAGATAAAGCGAAATTTGCGATCTAGGAATTAGAAATTTCAAGTAATAAATAAAACCGAATTTCTAGAATGAAAGTTTTCACATAATATTTTATGTCAAAAAATATTATGTGATCATTCTTCTTAAAACGAAAATTAAAATTATATTAAAATTGCATACTTATAGGGCACTGCTATAATAAAAACTCTCGCAAAAAAGTGATTTTTAAGCCGATTTTAAAATTTTCTAAATTAGATTTTAATTCTAATCTTTAAATCTAATTTATAATTTTTATAAATTAAATAAAATAATATTTTTCATTAAACTTACCTTCAATTATATCATCTATAGTACAGGTTGCATTCACAGATGAACAATTTGTTTGTAAATCATAATCTGTTATATTTATACTTGTACTACTTGTAGCACCAATAATACCACCATTACCATTACCAATTAATATACCATCATTATTATTAATACCTAAACTATTACTACTATTATAATTATAAAAATATTCACCGAAATCTTCAAATAATAACATAAAATTACTACCACTTGCACCATTACCATTATTATTATTATTATTGCTATTACTTAAACCATTAAAACCATTACTACCCAAATTTCTATTACCAATAATACTAACACCACCAATATTATTATTATTATCATTACTTTCATCAATTAAATTATTATTATCACTTAATCCTCCTGTATCATAATTTTGATATATTTCACTAATACTACTGCTACCTCCATTATTATTAATGACGCCATCACCACCATTACCAACAACATTACTAGTACTACCAATTATTCCATTATTATTATTATTATTACTATTAATACCAATTATATCGGTATTATCAAAATTATTAATATCATCTATATTACTAATATGACTATTCGTTGAATTTTTTGAATTAAAGAAACGTTCAAAACCACCAGTTTGTGTATTTGAATAACCATTACTACCATCAATTACACCAAATTCATTTGATGAATAATCAATAATTGAAGTATCACTATGATCATGATTTAAATTTTTATTACCACGTAATAAATTTGAATTTTCAGCAGCAATTCTTACTTCACGCTCTTTACCACTATCACTATTAAAAATGTTTCTAAATCCAATGATTCCATTATTAGTTTTTGATCTTCTACCATATTCTATTCTATCTAAATTTTTACCATTTCTTAAAATATTATTATTATTATTGTTATTATTATTATTATTACTAATATTAATATTACCACTGTTATTACTACTGGTACTATCATCATCATCATCATCAAATGAAAAACTATCATCGTATTGTTCAAATTTTGTTGCAGTAGACGGTGAAACAGATGCCAATAATGGTGGTATTGATGATGTTGTATGATTTAAAATTGTTATTGTTTGATTCCAAATACCAACATCATCATACAATTTAAAATAGTCTGGTGAATTCCAGAAACTATATGAGCTTGTATTACTCTCAAAATTATAATAACTATTTGATGGCGCCATTTTGTAGATTTTTATTGAACTTTATAATACACTTTTAAGAGAAAATACAAAATAATAAGGGAAAAGATTAAAAAAAAAATTAACAAATCAATATTTGAATTCTACTTTTCTTTCACAAATTTTCTTAAGGGTGATGATGGCGTTAAAAATTTTCTAACTTATTTTTATTGTTTGTTCAAATTTTTTCTTCTTTTTTTTTAACATTAAATTCATTTTCGTTCATTTTAAGAATAATTTGGACCTATTTCAACAGCTAAAAAAACTAAAATGTAAATGGAAAAGAATAATATTATTATTTTGCATGAAAATTTGGAAATAAAAAACAAAATAATTGAAATTTAAAGTTGAAATATGAATTTTGGCTAATTAAGTGTTGAAATTTCATTGAATAAAATTTCATGCTTAAAATCAAAAGATTATAAGACTGTTAAACCTAAAATGTTGCTCATTTTGAGGTTGAGCAAGTAGAGTTTTACTAGAACAATATTCGATTGACGTATGCTTTTGAAACTATTTCTTTTATTTCTCTACAAAAATTTTTTATTCGATATGCAATAGAAAACACGTTTGCATGTAATTTTAAATTTTCTACTCATTAAGTTAACTTCCATTTTCTTCAATTCCGATTAATCTCAAATTATGTAACAAATTTTTAAAAATATGGTGTATTATGGTATGGGAGGCAATTTTCGAACCTATTATTACAAATCGTATACTTCTTTCTCGTCAATGAAATTTATTATTTAAATTTACTGTGAAATATTAAATTTTCTGAATGTGATTTTTTGGATAAATTAGGTCCCTAAATTTAAAATATTCGCTAAATTTGTTTTTTTTTATATTTTCGATCCGATACCTGAAAACAAATGAACGTGGTTCTTGAAAATTGTAGTTTGAAAATTATGTATGGGCTTGAAAATTAAATACAAAACAATTTTTTTCACTTTTGCTCATTTCAGATATAAAATGAGCTTTCTAGTTTTACAATAAAATATTTTCACCATTCCAAATAATGACAAAATAATATACTTTTTTTTTAATTTTATAATATATCAGTTATACTAATAACAATGGTGTGAACTGAATTTTTTAATAAAATCGAGTTGCAGAAAAATTTTCGACCAATTTCTAAAATATTATATATACTATAAATTTGAAGTCTAAAAGGGATTGGCATTATACCGAATTCATTCTATTATGGAATTTTGTAGTAGACATTTATACATTGGCTACGTATTATTTAAGAAGCATACAATTTAAATCGATATTTTGAGTTTATTTTATTTTCTTAATTGTTCATAATAATTCATAGATAATTATTACATTTACATAATATTAATTATATTTTGTTATTGTTTCAATTCAATTTTATTTTAGAGAATTATCACCACAATATTAATATTCAAAAACCAATTAATTTCGAATTAAATTTCAAAATTTGTTTACAAAATTATTAGTAATTTCAGACATTTTAAATTAAATTTAGTTTAATTAAAATCACAGTAAACAAAAAATTGCAATGAAATGACACTATTAAAAATATTAATAAAGGAAAAATTCATAGAAAATTTCCTATATTGAATATTTTTTAAATAAAAAAATTGCTTGTAATAATCTTGTACATGACATGTAAAAAATCAAAATTAATCAAAAAATTTACAACATGAATTCCTAGAATTTTCAATGTAATTAAAAAAATTATGTAAAACATTGCAATGAATAAAAAAAAAGAAAAAGGTATTATGAAAATGTAAAAGAGAGGCTATTTTTTTTATTAAAAATTAATATTTTATTTAATTTTTATTTGCAAAATTGGTTCTTTTGTTTATTCTTTATTAAAAAAACGAAACAATGTCCGAGGCCCCAAATAAGATCACAAAATTTTTACCAAATAAATTAAAAATATTTTTATTTTATCCTTTACTTTAATTAGTTTATTTATTTTTTCTATTTTTTGTTTTTTTTTTATTATTATTGCATACGATCTCAAATATTGTTATTATTTTTTCTATTATATTTTTTTAATTAAATTTTTTACTTTTTATATACAAAAATTTTTCATTAAATATTTATTTTTATAACATTCATTATAATTTATTAGTTAGTTTTTTATTTATTTTAATTTGATTTAAAATTTCCATATGGTATTACAAAAACAAAACAAAAGAATAAATTATTTTTTACTATGCCTTTTTGTCCTTTTGTTATGCGAGGCAAACCTAATAATAAAATTTTTGTTTACTTTAAAATTAGTTATAATGAAAAAAAAAATTATATTATATCAAATAATAAAAGTATATAAGGATAACAATAATAATATGGAGTTAATTTTTTATATACTTGCACATAATATTATTATAAAGGATATTTTTATTATAATAAAGGATATTTTATTATTTGTATAATACTATTTTGTTTTATAAGTCTGTCATTTTTTGTTTTAATTTTTTTTTTTGTAAATAATTTTTGAAATTTGTTTATTATTTTTTTTCTTAATTTTATTTGTATTAAAAATTTTGTATTTTACTAAAGGTCATCCATGTTTAATTTAGAAATTATTCTGAAAAGAAAAAAAGAAAAAAAAATTATTTTAGTTTTATTTTTATGAAATTAATAATTATAAATAAAAATATAAATATTTTTGTAGAGCAAATGAGTGAACACGTCATATGGACCAGAAAAATTTTACTATTCCAATTTTTCTCTTACGAGCTAAATCATTTTACTTTAATATAATATTTATTTTTAAGCCCTGTTATAATTATTCTGTGAGTGATCAATTAAAATAAATTATATTTCGTATCAAATTCCTATAAATTTAATAAGGTTTTTTATTTAAGAATTAAAAATATTTAACAATTTATTTTACTTGAAATTTTTATCCGCAGTTATCAATGACGCAAACCGTGTATAAGATAATGCTTGTAGAAAATATTTTGTGAGTAAAATTTTCTGCTTGCTGGAATAATTTACTATTTAAGACTTATTATTTATTAATTTCATTTTAAAATATTTTTTTTTAATTTTAATGTTAAAAAATATTTAAAATTTTAAAATTTGTGGAAAATGTTAATATGCTTTTTGTTTACTATAAAAACGGGGCTATTAGTATATAGTTTCTTAGTTGAGTCAGATGTTTGCACAGAAATAAAATTTTTTTAAGCTAATCAAAGAGGTGTACAGAATTTTGGAGATGGGTACCTTTAGATCCATTTAAAGACTTCCAAATAACATTTTATCAACGTTTTCTGTATTGTGCTGTGCAACTATTGCGTTACTGCTATAGTATGCTTTCGATAAAAGTTGATTTTTTATCATACAAAGGGGTGTCGCCAGGCGAATATATTTCCTCCATCACGCTCGAGAAAGTTGGCGGCAGAGTTGTTTGGAATATATAAAAACTGGGTTCGCGTTTTTATGAATCTCTTTACTGGGTACAGCCCAGTAAAATCCCACCTGCAAAACCTGTGGAAATCGGGCTCCCCCTTGTGCAGATTTTGTGAAGACAGTAACGAAAACTTCATACATAACCTTTGAAACTGCCCGATACTGGTTTTTTCACAATTTTTTTGAATGGGTATTCCCAAGCGTTATGAAACTGCTATTCAACAACCCTTGGAATATTTCCTGCTTTTTACTTGAGACACGAATATTATATGCGAGAGCGTGGGGAGGGTGTACAGTAAGTCACAAATGAAAGCGGTAACCAAGGAGAGATCCTGTTACCCCACTCGGTCCCTTGAAACATAGAAAAAATTTACAGAATCATTAGAGTAGAGTTGTAAAGAGTTATTTAGAGAATGGAAAGTTCAAAATTTTGGCTATAAAATATTTTGTTTTAAAGAAAATAAATATTTTTTTCCCATTTTTATGAACATTAACTATAAAAATTTAAAAACAATATTTATTATTGAATGCATGATTATTCAGTTTCCTAGGAATATATTAATGCAGAAGCAATTCTAAGTTCTAACATAAAATTAAAATTAATTGCTATAAAAAAAAAATCTGATCAAAAATATTTTGAAATATCCACTTAAATTTTAACGTTTTAATTATAAGCAGCAAAATTTCTAAACGAATTCCAATTAAATACAAAATATTTTTAAATAAATGAAGTCATACAACTAATTTTATTTAAAATTTTCCAATTAAATGTGAATTTCCATAGAAATTATTATGTACGTTGCATTATTTACATTATGATATAAATAGAAAAATTTCCCGAAATCATAGAAACGAAATTATAATTTTTAATTAAAATAAACATTTATAAAAATTATTTTGTTGATAAAAAATTTTTCGAAAATTAATGAAATAAAATAAAATATTTGAAAAATATTCGAAAAGTTGGAAAAATTCATGAATTTAAAATTTATGTGAGAGTTCTTTAATTATAGAAAAGAAAACTTTAAAAATTTCAATTGTATTGTAAGACTTTTACGTACTTTTAAAAGCTTTTTCTACTAGTCACGTTTTAAGAACATGCAAACAAAAATAAAATTAAAGAGTTTCTGCTTCTCGGCTTGTTTTGCTATTCCAAATTATGCAAATTTTGAATTTTTATCAATGAATAGATTTTTCAAAAATCAAATTATTTTCTATAAAGAACTGGTGTGATAAAGATCCTTTTGATAAATTCTAAGACTTTGGAAGTATATGTCAGTTTAAACATCCCGCATATAGTATGCATAGGCCCAGAAGCAAAGTGACCTAATCTTCAGCCCCAAAATTTTTACTTTTTTGTTAGAAATGTATATAAAATTAGTTCCTAAATTTAAGTTTATCGACGAAAAAGTCAAATATTTCCTATATTCCGTTATTTTTTTTGGTCTAAATCCAAAATTAAATGTTTTCCGGCACAAAAGTGAGTTTTAAAAAAAAGCACTTTTTTCTAACTCATCTATTGTGGCAAAAATTTTTGGAGTAAGGGTTAGGTCATTTTGAATCTGTGCCCCTCATATATCATTTTACTTTGGAAATCGAAATACAGTTCCTGTGTTGCTTAAGTATTTACGGAGTCTGATTTAAAAATATGTGGCCCGGTATAGCATATCATAGAAATTATTGCACCA